GGGGCAGTGGAGGAGTAGGGAAGTTAGACAGGAAGGAAAGGCAGTCTGGGAGTGCGATGAAGCCAGTTACCTCTATGGGCAACTGGACCGCACTCTGAGTGGTTTATTTGGGAGCTGATTCCAGGCAATAGCAGTGGGGCAGTGGAGGAGTAGGGAAGTTAGACAGGAAGGAAAGGCAGTCTGGGAGTGCGATGAAGCCAGTTACCTCTATGGGCAACTGGACCGCACTCCTGCCTGGGAACTCTGGCGGGCAGTGTGGGGCATGTCTCAGAACTGCTCCATTTGAGGGCATCTGCCACATGCTGAGAGCTGCTTCTGGGGTCCTGAAAGGCCCTCTGGCAGAGAGTTGCATTATCTAGAGAAAGCAGTCTTTACTCTTAGAAGTGACTGCTAAAGGATGACAAGGGTGTTATAGTGCTCTCTGCTACGTCCTCCCACACCCCTGACCAAGGGTGAGCCATGCCTTAGAAAGTCTGTAACCCAGAAGCCAGCATGGAATAGGCACTGGCATAAGTGTGTTTAAAGAATGAGGTGAGGGCCGGGCGCAGTGGCTCATGCCTGTAATCCCAGCACTTTGGGAGGCTGAGGCAGGTGGATCATGAGGTCAGAAGTTCAAGACCAGCCCGGCCAAGAAGGTGAAACCCCACCTCTACTAAAAATACAAAAAAAAATTAGCCAGGCGTGGTGGTGTGCACGTGTAATCCAAGCTACTCAGGAGGCTGAGGCAGGAGAATTGCTTGAACCCGGGAGGCATAGGTTGCAGTGAGCCAAGATCATGCCACTGCACTCCAGGCTGGGTGACAGAGTGAGACTCCATCTCAAAAAAAAAATGAGGTGAGCTCTGTCTCCTACACTAGGCTATGAATCCCCTGAAAGCCAGGACTATGTTCTACCTGCCCTGAACCCCAGCATCCTCCAGGGATGGGAACAAATGGGAGGACCTCCTGGGGCTGGAGTGTGTATGTGTGTGTGCGTTTCCCCTGATCTATTCAGCACTTTCTGGGGACTTACCTACATCAGTGAGAGTCCCATTTTGCTCTGTCAGGCCTAGGGAAGCAAGTGGCGGGTGCCTCCCTGGCTGGGCCCCCACTATGTAGGAAGAACAGAGCCCATGCCAGAGGTGAGGGCCCAGGATTATGGAAAGAACTTGGCTGGTGGCTGCAGCCACCAGTTCCTGGTTGCCAAGTGACAGCAATCTAGGTATTCCAAGTTCCCTGACTCCTTGGAAACCATGAAGAACTGAACCAGGGGGCAACGCCTAGACGGGCACTGAGGTGAAATCATTCACCACTGTAATTCTTTGGCCTGGCATCAGCCCAACCATATCACCTCCTCCAGGAAGCCCTCCATGATTAATATTGTTCTTTGCTTCCACCAAGTGACTGATACCCAAGACTTCCCAACTTGCCATTCCCCTTGCTAGTGGGGTATCCAACATATTTGATACCCGTAGCAGGTATCTCTTTTTTAAAAAAATTATAATTTTTATATAACCCTATTAATTTTTTAAAGTTTTTTTATTGTGGTAAAATACACATAGCATAAAACTGATCATCTTAATCATTTTAGGTATACAGTTTAGTGATATTAACCATACTGTTTTCCACGGAGGCTGCACCATTTTATGTTCCCACCACGCTTTCTAATTTTTCCACCTTCACAGCAACACTTGTTATCTGTTTATTTATTTATTTATTTATTTATTTATTTATTTTTAAATAGAGAATAGAGATGGGGTTTCGCCATGTCACCAAGGCTGGTCTTAAACTCCTGAGCTCAAGCAATCTGCCCATCTCAACCTCTCAAAGTGCTGGTATTACAGGCATGAGCTACCATGCCCCGCCAGTGGTATCTTCTTATAATTTTAATTTGCATTTCCCTAGTGGTTAGGGATGCTGAGCATTTTCTGATATACTTATTGGCCATTTGTATGACTTAGGAGAACGTCTGTTCAAGTCCTTTGCCCATTTTTAAAGTGGACTGTTTGTTTTTTGTTGTTCAATTTTAGGTATTCTCTATATATTCTGGATATTATTCCCTTATCAGTTATACAATTTGTAAATATTTTCCCCCTTTCTTTGAATTGCCTTTTATTCTGTTGATAGGGTCTATTGATGCACAAAAGCTTTTAATTTTCATAAAGTCCAATTTGCCTGTTTTTTCTTTTGTTGCCTGTGCCTTTGATGTCATATCCAAGAAATTACTGCCAAAGTTGTGAAGAGTTTGCACTACATTTTCTTCCAAGAGTTTTATATTTTTAGGTCTTACATTCAGGTCTTTGATTCATCTTGAGTTAATTTTTATGTGTGGTGTGAGGGAGAGGTCCAGCTTCATTCTTTTTATATGAATATCCACTTTTCTCAGCATCATTGTCTGAAAAAGCTGTTCTTTCCCTATTGGATGGTCTTG